AACAGACAGACAGACAGACAGACAGACAGACAGACAGACAGACAGACAGACAGACAGACAGACAGATGCAGAGAGAGACAGACACACAGACAGACACACAGACAGACAGACAGACAGACAGAGAGACAGACAAGCAGACTGACAGACAGACAGACAGATGCAGAAAGAGAGAAAGGGGGGAGGTGGAGAGGTATCGAGACAACGAGACAGCACAAACCGGCAGTGACCAGAGAAGGCTAAGACGCTGAATAAACATGGACACTGTCCTGCTATTGCGCCTACCTCACCTCCCCCTTCCCCCTCCCTTTCAAACCCAACCCAACCCTGCCCTTTCACAACCAACCAGACTTTAAAAATATTTGTATCAGCTTCTACGTTGTATGTGTTTTTTTCTTGTTATTTTTTTTCGCCCGCAAATGCGTAAAGACGTACGCGCACGCATACATGCAAATGTGCGCATAACCACACACACATACACACACACACTTACAGATACGCATTTAAGAAGGGTAAACACACAGATACACACACAAACACACTATGCGACCGTATGCATTTATTATGTTTATATGAACACATACTCAGACACTGATATGAGCACATAAACACACACAGGCACAAACGTAAACTTTCGCACATTAATACAGACATACATACTTTATTCACAAATATTTGCACCCACAAGCACCCACACAAACACACACAGACACACACACACACACACACACACACACACACACACACACACTCACACACACACACACACACAAATACACACACACACAGACATACAAACAAATACGTACATGCAAACACCCACAAATGCACATATGCACACAAACACACAAACATCCCCCCCCCCAAAAAAAAAAAATCGTCTAAAAGATCCCTTGAAAAACAATGAAACCAACCGTCGGACATGATTACCATGAATGTTGGCAAGACAGAATGACCAGTACAAAGCCGCTATTCGTATTTACTTGTGTACCTAAATCTAAAGAAGAACAAGATCTTACTTCCCGCACAAGAGAAACGACTGGCGCCCATGTTGAAGAAACTGGTCACCCGCTTCCTATAACATGTACACACGTACTTACGAAAACCCAACCCTCTTTTCCTTTTCTTTCTTTCGGGTATACTAGGCATGTAAACTACTTGTATTTATTTATGTACCTAAATCGAAAATAGAACAAGGTCTTACTTCACGCACAAGAGAAACGAAGTGCGCTAAGGCGGAAGAAACTGGTCACTTGCTTCCTATATGTACAATGTACACATTTACTTACAAAATCCCACCCCCAACCCTCTTTTCTTATTCTCTCTTTCTTTTTTTTCTCTTTTAATTGTCTCGCGGGTGGACGAGGTATGTAAACCCTCCCGCCCCGAGCCACGATTGAGAACACAAAAGAGGATAAAAGGGCAAAAAGAACAGCGGGTGGTCACACCAAACTAGTCATTCAATTTACTTCAGGCTGCCATAATGTTTCACCTTACAGATTACAGCACCCATCATAGCTTTTGCCTTGCTAAAATACTTTGTGTGGTGAATTTTTACCTCAGGCTGTTATCAGGAAGGTAGCTTGAATATTATGACAACTATTATGGTGCATGTATTACAAAACATACATACATAATATAATTATAATAATGTTATAAAGAGAGATACAGACGGAATATGTTTTGATTTTATATAATTATACATATGTAAGGATTTAGGCATCCTGTATATGGTAAAGGAAATCTTTAAGGGGGGGAGGGGAGTCACAAGGGGACAAGTGAAGTCACACGAAATATAACGAGTCACAAATTAATGTGCGCAAGGCAGCCCCC